AGCTAACCATCCAACCAGAAGAGAGCACAGAATAGAGTCCAAGTTACAAAGCCGCCATGATGCTGGGGACACCACTCTGCAACCTGCCCCTCTCGGTGCCCACATCCTGCCATGATGCCTGTCCCAGCACGCAGCACAGCCTCTGCCTTCTTCCTCCCTCCCCTACAGGCTGAGCCAGAGGACTAGTGAGGGCCATGGATGCAGGCCTGCCATCTACCTGCTCAGCCACCTGCCCTGGGCCTCAAATAGCTCATTCTCCTCCCAGGGTGTTGATTTACCTGTAGGGCCTGGCACAGAGCAGGTGCCCAGGGATAGTGTGGTAAAATAAGCACTGGGCTCCTTCTATCTGAAAAGAAACCCTCTTTCCCCATGCACCTCCATAGCAGTTCCAGCCTAAGAGTGACCAAGCCACAAGGACAGGTGGGCTCTGGGTTCTCTGGCCTCCTCCACCTCCTTTGGTTCCTCCATATTTTCAAAAGCTCTGGCTACTACCGTAGCTACCTCTTATCAGGGTCTTCTGGCCAGGTCTCACCCAGCTGAGCTGGGCCCAGGGGAGCTTTGTGACCCATCTGTGTGGTCTTCTTCTCTCTTCTGTTAAGGTCCTAGGGAGGGGCACAGTCAGACAAACCTGGGCACAAATCCAGCCTCTACTGCTGCTGAACTGTGGAATCTGGGGCCCAATCCCTAGCTCCCTGAGCTCATCTATGACCTAGAGACACTACTGCTACTCTTGCTTCCCTAACTTGCCAAAAACTCCGCCTCTGTCAGTGTTGGGACTCACCTTAGCCTTGCTAAGCTGTATGGATCCTGTCGCAAGCTGTGGACAGAGTAGTAAGTACAGGCGTCCTCCGGGAAGAGACCCAGGCTACGTATACCGAACCTGAAACTCAGAATTTCTAAGCAGCTCTTGCTTATGCAACTTCCTACTGGGCACCACCCTCACCGCACCCTCCTTGTTGATCCATGGGGAGGAGCCAGTTCAGACGTCACAAGCCAGGTGCTTCCAGCCAGCTCACCTTGGCTGGGTGAAGAAAGACCAGCCAAGTACAGATTGGAGGACCCTCCAATCACCATGCCCCTAGAGATTGTAATCAGCTTCATCCATTGCATACACCCACTCCAGCACACCTGCTTCTCTGTCCCCTTTCACCATCAGCACAGCTCCCACAGGTCCTGCAGCCTGCTGCATGCTTGGTGGATGCCTCCTGGGGATATCCTGCTAATGGACTGGGGGGAGGGCAGCACTGGGGATGGAACAAGGGCTTTGCAAATACTGAACAAGCGCTGTACCACTGACCAATCGGTGCTCCTAGACTTTTACTTTTGAGGGGGTCTTCCTGCAGAGCACCTCTTCACCCCTGGAGCTGTCATGTGTGGCCTCCTCTGAGTCCCTCCAATATCTCTGACCAGACTCCACTGCCCACTTCTCTCCTCCCAGCTAGTGCCAGTGTTTGACCCTAAACCCCGTCCTTTCTCCCTCTCAGAACCAACACGAAGGCCAAGGACCTGCTGAGCAATGAAAGAGGCTTTTATTCCTGCCTGAGAAGTGGGAGACAGACTCCAAAGCCATCTTCTCAACCTGATAGGGGTGGGGAAGTCAGAAGTGTGAGGTGTAGAAAATGAGGATGGGGAGAGGGAAATCACTGACTCCTTTTCTGGGATGGGTTGAGATTGTCCTGGAACTTGGGCACCACCTCTTTTCACTTTGTTGATGGCTCTTTGGAGCCATCCCCATGGCCACTGTCAATGGTCACCTACCTGGGAGGGGGAGTTATTCAGCATGGGAGAGGGATTAGAATGAGGGGAGAGGTTGCCGCGTGGTCACACTCACAGCCACCTCAGGTGCCACCAGTTTCAGGTAAGGAAGCACCTCTGGCCCACAGGCATCTTGTCTTCAAAGATAAATAAGAATAGGCAGGGTAGAAAATCAGCTAGCTCGGTGGGTAGTAGAAGGCTGGGGCAGAGGAGCACTAGGGCACCTTTTGGGGAAGGGCCACTACCCATCCAGCCTAGTGAGTCGCACAGCTGAGTTTCAGGGGAATTCTGTGCTTCACCCCAGGGAGAAGATGCCGGGAGAGCTGGGAGGGGGACAGACCCCACAAGCCAGCCTGGGCCTGTTCTGCAGCGGGCAAATGTCAATGAGGCCTCACGCTCACACCCCGTCCATGAAGGAAGGTCAGTGAGTGACCACACAATAAAGCTTGCATGACTTTTACTGCTCTTTGATTACACTGGTATTATAATTCCCTGAAGGGCTAGATTTTTCCTTTGTGTGTAAAATAGACAGATGATAACTGTACATATGGATGGGGTCTGATTCTGCAAGTGAGGAAATTGAGGTAAAGAGAAAGTTTGGATTTCAATGGGAAACTCAGGAGAAGCCAAAGCTCAACCAATTTGACTTTGGTACATTTGACATTTGTGGCCACCGTTCTTTTTCTAAAGGCTTTTTGTTTTACTTGTCTCTATTTTCTGTAACCTCCCTTCCCCTGATTCTTCCCTGTTTCACTAGCAGGGCTTTAACTTAACAGCCACACAAACACACAGTAAGATGCAGGACCTGTTATAGACCCACAGGAGCTCTGGCCCCACCATGTGGATCCCCTCATCAGCAAGAACCAGAGGACCAGACCATCTTTGACAGGTTGAACATGACATTGTGGTGGAGCCTTGAAAATGAGCTGCAGACTCAGCTCAGACATTTCATCACTTTCATCACTGTCTGATGCAAAGTGTTTAAGTAGAAAATAGTTCATTTGGCTTAGAATTTAAGAAGTTTCTATCCATAGTTGGCTGGCTCCAAGGCAGGAATATCATGGCAGAAGGGTGTGGACCAAAGCGTCTAAGCCCTCAGCCAAGCAGCAGAGAGCAAGAAACAGCCAAGAGAGAAGAAGCGCTGGGAGCAGGATACACCCTTAAAAGGAGCTCTCCCAGTGACCACTTCCATCCTAAGGGCCATTCCACTATGAACCCATCTATGGCATCCAGGACCCTGTCATAGCTCTAGGCTCCATCTCTGAGCATCATTGCTTTAGTGATGAGGCCTTCAATGCAGGAGTCTCTGATGGACACTACACACTTAAACCATGACAGACAGAGAATGTGTTCCATGCCCACAGCCCCTGGTGACCAGATACAGAGTGGAAGGGGCCACCGCCTGTCCCAGCTGTCAATAGCCAGCCTACCAGCTACCAGCCTCGTGTGCCCGACAGTCCTAGTGTCTTTCCTCAGATGGGAAAATCAAGCTTGGATAACAAGTATCAATTTCAGGAAAGTTTAGACCTAAGTGTAATGATTTCAAAATCAAATCCATAATCTTAACGTGTTTGTGTTGAGGTCAATATCAATGTGTGTTTATTTCTTCTTTATTTTCACACAGGGACTTACTATGTTGTCCGGGCTGCCGTCCTCCTGCTTTGCCAGGTGATCTCTCCCTGTCACAATCACTCATGCTGCCATTTGTCATGTGATACAGGCACAAAGGCCTCAGCAGAGCCTGCATCATGCTGTGTGGACCTCAGCTTCCACAACTTCAAGTGAAGTAAACCTGTGTCACCAGTCTCAAACATTCCACCAAAATAAGAGACAGGTGACTAACATAAGCAGTGGAGGACAGATGAGTATGAGTCAGGAGCAACCCTGGGAAGGGGGCAGCATCCTTTGGCTTGGCCCAGAGCACACTGAAGGATGGAGAGGATGCAAGGACTGTTTATCTGCAAGGGACTTTAGGTCAGTAACCCCTGAACTTCCAGCCATGAAGCCCCAGGTCCGCTCAGAGGATGGGTCAGGCAGCCTGGGCCCTGCCCACCCTCTGCTGGTCCGGTACAGAAGTCCTAGAAGCCAAGGATGAAGCCTCACTGGAGGAGGGGCCAAGCCATAAAAAGGTGAGAGGATAGGAATGCTGACAAAACACAAATGGAACCCTTTTATCATGTGTGGGTTGAGAACACACATAGTCATTATGAGTACTTGAGTGTTCACATTTGAATGCCCTGAGCCAAGAGATTTTAAATTAGGACTGCAGAGGGCATGAAGACATAGGTTTCCAACACCTTGTCAGGTGCTGCTGCCACCACTGGACCAGTGTCTCCACTCTGAGAAGCACTGGCTACACCAAGGCAACTCTTATCTAAAAAGTATCTTCATGGTTAAAAAGTAAACAGCTAAGGATAAGAATAGAAAATTAGAAAGAACAATGAGTGGCCAGTCCCCTCATTAAAGAGTCAAAATGCAGGATAAAATAAAATAAAGAAAATCATTTGCTACCAGTTTAAGAATAAGTAGGTCATTAAGGAAACAAAAAAGATGGCCATGGAAACATGGGCAGGAAGATTGTGTAATTTCGCGTGTGATGATGGGTGCTCCCAGCATGGTCTCATGTGATACACTGGGGACTGGGATTAGAAGAAGATGCTATTAGTGCCGATCAGTCTGTCTGCTGTCTCAGATGACTTCTCTCCTATTTTGCATCTCTTTGCCTAGCATTATGGATCCTTTTTCATCATCTACTTTCTGATTCACTGACCCTCGTTCTTCCCCCACTGATAAGCACTAGGCATCAGCAACTCCTGTGCTGATGGCTGTGTGCTCTCTCTTCCTGGGAGTCCTGCTTTCTGCCTTCCCCTCCTGCGTCTACCTCTGCACAGGCACAGCCTTCCCACCCAACCTCCACACTTGGTTACCTCTTCCTCCCAGGATAGAGAAAGATGAGCCCTGTGGCAAGGGACAGAGATGGTGCGTTTAGATGAACCACTCAGGCACGTGAGTACGCAGCTTGTCCTGGGACTGGTGCTGAGGACGTCGCTGTGGTGACTCAAAGCCTGCCCAACTCGAAGGTCTGGACAGATTAGGTAGAAGGCTCTCCTGGATGCACCAATCAGCCCCTCCCGGCCACCTTGTCCCCAGACGGACACCACAGACGCAGCTCAAAGCACATGGTACTTTTATTGTGACGCTCAGTGGAAAATACCTGGAAACCAGCTTACTGTAGTGGTGACAGCTGCAACACATGCTAAGACACTTTTATTATATAAAAGTGTGGGTTGGAGCCCGCCGCGCCTTGCGCCCAGGCAGCGAGTTCTCCGGGAGAGGCAGGGCTCCTGGGTCCGAGAGTGGGCCGGACTCATACCACCGCGATTCCCAGCCGAAAAGCACACAAAGAGCCAGGTAGGCC